CAAATGGCTGCAATGAAACAAAGAGTGTATGAATACTTTCCGTACCCACTGTATATATACACAATAGCTAACCTTCATATTAGACTTATTTCCAGAAAATCCAAGGCACAGCATTCTCAAGGCTCAGTTCTTCAAACTCAAGTCCTTTTGGATTGGCCAAAGAAAAAGGTTTGATCGAGAAACGCGTGCACATTTGGAAGTGGGAAAGAATTCTTCGCCGAAATAGACATGACACGTTGTTGTCAATAAATCCTTAATTCTATTCAGTTATCTTGCTTCACTATGCTTCTAGATTGCCAAAGGCAATACGGAGTAGACACAATGAACTGTGCAGGACCAAACAAGTTTTTCATTCTGTCAGTCCGCCGTGAGGGAGTTGTCCCAGAGGTACAACTAGTTCATGTTCTGTAGAAGAAAACAGATGATCAATATTTTATATTACACTAAAACAGTATAGAAAGAAAATGGCAGAGATTGACCATTTTTATACAATAGGTTTATGTACACTTTTACACTTCATGAACAAAAACAGCAACAACCATGATAGTGCTCTCAGTTAGGAAAAGGAAGGAATCTGTCTCCAACATAATGCTTCATCAAGTGGCTCTGCTCCTTTATTTGGTTTCTTATTGCTGTCCTTCAAAGGTCTCTGCTATGATCCAGTGGGAGCTCAAGAGTCACATGGTGGGTGGAGAAGAAACGTCATCAAGACCCAAACTGTCTTTTTGTCTCCGGAGAAGAAAAGGCAACACTACAATCCAAAATAAATGGCAAAAAAAAAAAAAAAATAACAGAAAGTTGCTCCCTCTTCAGCTGAGTTCATTCAAAGACGAACTCTTGAAAACACCTAGCGCCCTCTGCTGGCATATAAAAACACTTCAGACTGCTTGTCTTTTTGACTTTTAACGCACATTTGTTGGCTTGGAAACATGTTCTATCTATTTATATATGTATATATGTACACTGTTTTTAGTGAAATGCAAAGAGATTTTGGTTTTAATTTTATGTCAACGTAAAAAGCCAGAATCAATCACTCAATCAATCAACCAATCAATCAACCAACCAACCAAACAAAGACGTCCCTGTGCTCTGTAGTTCATCTGGACCACAAAGACCTCCCTGTGCTCTGTAGTTCATCTGGACCAGGTTACACATTTCCATGTCATGGTAATGTTTCAAATGTGTGTGCGTGCGTTGGAAACTGTGAGTTTGTCAACAACAGCCACAGTCGATGGTATAACACACACTTCACACACACTAACGACAATCAACAAAGCAAAGGCACTCGTTTGAAAAGGGACTGGGAAAACAGTGTGCGCGAGTGGGTGTGTGTTCATCCAGTTTGTATAAAGTGTGGGCCACAGAGGCACCCGTACCAATTTCCAATAACAGCAACCTTCACACAGATGTGATGAAACGACACTGCACACAACACAACCCTGCACTGAGTTTGCTGTAGATTGGTCAAACCTGCAAACGACTTCTTGCGTGTGCGCGTGTTGTGTGTGTGTGTGTGCGTAAAGGTCAGGACATTTGTCACCGTCTGTCTGAGCTTCGCCCCCTGTCATCATTGAGCCAGCGCTTCAGTCTAACAGTAGAGAAAGTGTTCAGACAAATCTATCTGCTCTGCAGTTCATTCTTCGCTTTACCTTCATCTTCATCGTCATCCCCAGGTCTGTCAACCACGCTGGTGGGGGGGCATGATGGGAGAGATGTTTTAGGAGGACAAAAACTGAAGACTGAGAAAGAGTCAACATTCAAGCATGAGATGTTTTTTTTTTCTCACCCACTCAGGTGCAGAACTATCTCTTTTACCCATAGTTCATTGGGAAACATGCGAGTGGAGTCGGGGATGTAGTAAGTTGTCCTTAAAGCGTGTTTTGGAGGCAGTGTCGGTTTCCAGTGGTTATTTTACACACAACAATCCTCCAACGTTGGCCACAAACTCCTCCAGGCTCTTGAGAAACGCCACCTTCTGTTTGCGATCCATGGTGGGCGGCGTGCTGCTGGCCGTCAGCTGGTTGAAGGCGTCAGCCAGTCGCTGGTAGATGACAGCGTCTCTCTGCGAGGAGAGCAGTGTCTCCACCAGCTCCGAGTACTCCGCCTGCAGGAGGAGGAAATGTCAAAGGGTCAGAAGGATCTGGAAACATGAAGCTCAGTCGTTACGGTTATGATCGTTATGTTCTTAGTTTGACAAATCAGAGTACTACTATTGAGTTAGCTTGGAAATAGCTGCTATAACACTGGTTTTATTGTCAACAACAAGGTCAGTGGAGCAGCAGCTGGACAATACAAAGGATTTTAAACTAGTTTTTATGAAAACATCAATGATGTAGAACTGTTTTTCAACCTTGGGGTCGCCTGAGATGTGTAGTACTTAAAAAAGAAAGAAAAAAAAAAAAGAAAAAATATTTTTCAACTTTTTCAATTCTTATTCTTTTCAAACGTATGATTGAAAACACCACACACACACACAAGTATACACAACTGTACTCTTTCATTTTCACGAGTTCAAAGAAAATATAAAAAGCGTATAAAAATATCAGAGCTGGTGCATTTTCATTGACAGCTGCGATCATGTGACTGAAAATAAAAATGGCTCCGGGGTCACCGTGAATTTAGTTTTGTCTAAGACATTGAATCTGGAACGACCAAAGCTTAATATTATAAAGACATGAGGAATTCAATTTGAACGTTTGTGATTATGTCTCTCTCTATCTCCAGCCTTTTGAGTTCCTTTTTATTCTATTTTTTTTTACAGGGCAACAAAAGAACAACTCAAATTGTATGTGCTATGACATAGTGCATACATTGCTAATGCTACGAATTCTGCCAGTATATAGGGGCTATATAGCGGCGGGCCAGCTCTAATACACATTTGATACGCAGGGCCTGAGTTTGACACTTAAAAAGACAAGCAAAGGACATCAAAACCTGTGTGTTTGTGTTTTAGTTTGTGACTCACTTGATGCAGACACACCAGGGTGTACAGAGCTTCTCCTGCAGCCACTGTAATCTCTGTGTTGTGTTTCTGCAGCACCAGCATGTCGAACACCAGCTGAAGACAACAAAAACAGGGACGTGAATGCTGTTGAAATGTAGGATTTCAATGTTAATTGTTTCAGGGCGGCGTCATGTCTCACTTTGAGGAAGTGACGTGTGGCAACGAAGAGGGGCGTGTCCTTCTCCTGGTTTTTGGCGCACTGTTCAGCCAGAGGAGACAGAGCCTCCAAACACAACTGACTGATCTCTGAGCCCATTCTGACAGGAACATTAAGGAACGGATACCAACATAAAAAAAACCAAACCGTATCAGTATTCTACAGCATTGTTTCCCAAAGACTGGGTCGCGACCCTCAGGTGGGTCGCAAGAGATTTTTTTTGGGTCATCTCATCATGTTTCCCAGGAGTTTACGAATAATGTCTATTGTCTTGGGACACAAAAGTTTGTAACTTTTAAAATATGGGTTCAGTTTTCCTGAAAATAGTTCAGGAAAACTGTTCTACAGCACTGTATAGATTTTTTTTAACAATGAAAATGCAAGTATCTTTTTATTTGTTCTCCAGCAATTACAAATGTAGATTCCAATCTTACTAACCTGATGTTAAGCAGGTAACATTATTGTGTGTTTACTATGTTGACAATTTTCCTGCATTTCAGCGTTTTAAAAAAAACCCTCAATATATGGTTGTTCCTATAGTATCGCAATATATCGTATCATTGATATGTATTTTATGACCAGATTCTTGCCAATAAAATCTCAAAATCTTAGCACGGACACCAAAAGGATACGAGGTCATTCCCAACTCCAGGGAGTACATGAGACTCTTGAAGAGTTCTTCGGGAAGCTGTGGGATCTTCTCTGGAAAGATCTCACATATGAAGGTGATGAGCTTGTAATACTGGTTGCACAAAGAGGGGAACTGGAAGAGGAAGAGGGTTAAAGTGAAAACACCAGAATATGAAGAACATCTATACAGTTGTTTTTTTTAAATTATTATTACCTTGAGCAGATCCTGAGACATTAAAGGGAGGACAATATTGACACCAAACAGAACGACGTCTGCTGCTGATACTGTCCTGTTGGTGGCTGGAGTTCCCTGGTCCTGGTTTCTGAAGACTTCATCTGAAAATGTACATAAGTAAATTACGATTTTGATCAATCCGCACCCGCAGTTATTGATTTGATTTCAAATGTTCAAACTATTCACAGCTCTGGTTTTTACATTTTAGGAGCGTTACCTGTGTCACTGAAGTCGATGAACTCTTTGGAGAGCAGGTTGGTGAGAAGCTCCATGATCAGCAGAAGGTCCTGATACTGATCCTCCTCCGCTGCCGCGTCGCTCCGTTTTCTACACTGATTGTTTTTAGAATAAACCTGCAGCAGTGTCAGACAGGCCTCGTACAATTTCATCGATTTTGTCTACGAAGAGAGAGAGACAGAGAGGACAGGGAGAAAAGACAGAGCGAGAGAGCAGAAAGACGGGTCAATCATCAACTCTTCTCCTCTCTGGTCATGTGACTCCTCTTCCGAGACTCACCTCTCCGAGGTAACAGATCTGTTTGTGAGCTACTTCCACAAAAACCTCAATGATGAGGTTCACCGTCTCCGGCGTGTTGCTGTAAACCTGCACATCGATGGTCAAAACAGTTAAGACTGGCTGTTTTTTTATTACTTCTATTTTACAGTTCTGGTGAATTTCTCTGACCTCCATGAGGCCGATGCAGCTGGACAGGAAGTCCATGAGGAAAGAGAAGAGCGAGGCCACGTTGTCGATCTGCGTCGCCTCAGCGATGCCACAAAGAGCCTCCAGTGTGGCCACGATCTCCTGCTTGACTGCCTCCTGCTGGCTTATTTGAGCAAAGTTCTCCTGGTTTATGAGGTTGAGGAAACGCTGCTGAAGAGGATGAAGAACCTGAAGAAGGAACAGAGAAGACCGGGGTAAATCAGGAATCTTTACTGAACGTGAGTCACTTGTTTAGCAGAAATAAATTCATTTCAGGGCTAGCCGATATCCGATATTGTCCAAACACTTAATTTCCGATTCAGATATCAACCGATACCAAGGTAGCGGGTCAGTAGAGGCCTGGTGGTTAAGGAATTTAAGTGCCGCAAAAACATAGCATAGCAGCTCAGAGGTAGCTTAGACGAAGCCAAGCAATACCAAAATAGTAATAAATACAAGAAACTGAAACTAAAAAAACTTGGCTAAAGTTTAGTTCAGCTCATTTTGCTGCTCAGTTTGACCGCAGTTTGAACCAAATCTGCTTCACGTGAGATTATCTGACATCTCAGCCGAAAAGAACAACAACATGAGCTGTCTCCTCCTCCTCCAACAGTTAGAGCTGAGTCGCGTAGAGCAGCTGTGCACAAATCCACAGCTGCTGTCTCGCTCATACAACACCCCCCCCGACCCCCCCACCCACCCACTCTCTCCACCATAATTACTATTGGAGTCATTGTGGCTTTACGCCCCCATTTATCACCGTCAGCTTGTTAAAACAGAGGCCTGCAGGATCAGGACAAGAACCAGGTTACACCGCCCAGACAAAGACGAGGAGGACAATCAGAATTTCACAAAGTCAAAAGCTGAGGTCCTTAAACATCTTTGTGCAGTTAACTCTAAATGCATCTTCTTTTTCTGTCCAACTGTCCCACTGTTTGTGCCTACCTCGGCCCAGTACTGCTGTTTGGTGTCCGTGTCCATATGGGCAAAGCCCCCCAGCACCAGAGCCTTCATTAGTGTTCGCTGCACAGAGCTGGAGAGGAGATGGAGAGGCGGACTCCTGCTGGCAAACTGTTTGGCCAGATTCCACCAGCTCTCACACTGGACCACGATGTTCGCCCTGAAAAAACAAACAAAAAAAAACAAAACAAGTCGTCGTAATTCCCTAAAGTCATTAGAGGAAACGTCCACATGAGAGGAAACCTGACAGCCCCCACCTTTCCCTCTTCTCCACCAACGTCACCAACAGCTCCACCGTGTCGTTGGAAAGCTCCACCTCGGCGCTCCACACTGACAGATTGTTGACCACCTTCTCCAAGAGATATCCCACAATCCACTGGGCTCCCTCTGTGTCCACACCAAACGCTGTGCTGAGTGGAATGCTGATCTGAGGAAGGACACGTCGGGTGAGGTGAGGCGAGGCTTCGCGTTTGACCTGAGCTCAGGTGTGGGACAAGAGTCAGAAATGCTCCCACCTGTTCATAGAGCTTCTCATCCACCAGCAGGTAGGTCTTGGCCCAGCGTCGGAGGAACCACATGATGTCTTTTCCCATCTGTGGACTCAGCAGTTCTGTGAGGCTGGCTCTGCTCGCCCTGGATTCGACTTCTGATGCTCGCAACACAGCGGACAGTAACCTGAGGGAGGGGAGTCGAAGGATGTTTTCATTTGTCACTTTTTTATATACATATATATTTTACCTATTTATATTGATTCTTGCTTGTTTTAAATTATACCCCAAGTGAGTTATTTTTTTATGGATTATTTTATAATTTACTTTAACAATTAATCACAAATTGTTCATTGTTGTTTCTACCCATGTGTTAATTCGATATATTTTTTGTTGCATTTCAATGCAACAAAACCTCTTTTGGTTTTTCGAACAAGGCCAGAATATTTGGTCAACCATCAGGAATACTAATTTCACAGCAAGACACGAAGACTAATTACTACAATCTTCTCAGGACATTTAACAGCTTCTGGAAAATTTGTTATGGTCCGTTAAAAATAATTCTTTGTGCTGAAGCAGTACTCTCTCTCACACACACACACACACACACACACACACACACACACATATACACACACTAACCAAGTGCTTCAAGTCCAGGACTGAGGACAGTTTCAAATCGTTAGCAGAAAAACAAAACCACTCTGACATTTACAGGACCGAGGTCGTACGCTCGCCTCAGGAAACATAACGCCATCGGCCGCTCGACACCACGACCCTCTGTCACTGCTGTCATTACACACGCGCACGAACACACACACACACAAGTAATAATCAGCTAAAATATGGTCTGAATGACCTTCAGCGGACAATTCCTCTAGCTGCTCCGTGTCTATTGTCAACACAGCGATTATTTATCACGGACGCACAACTTCCCTAGTTCATAATAAAGTTAATAAGTTAATTAAGTTAGTTAATAAAGTATCCATCTATCTAGAGTCTGAGATGCTCAATAAAGTGCTGTGAAAAACAAATCCTCAACTCTGACAACGGTGACTACAGATTCCCTCTATGCCTCAAGGTCATTTTTATTATCTGCCTGGGTATTTTTGGGAGCCGTCATTCAGGAATGACAACAGCCACGACTACTGTACAAGGTGAGAAGGCCGTCGTATAAACCAGTGACTACATAAAAGAGAAAACAGTGTAAAGAAAACAGGGAACCTACGTAGGGAAATCAATGTAACAAGATGAACCGAGCAGAATGCCGTCTCTAACTATAGCAATTCCAGAATATATATCAAATATTGATCAGCTTCAGCTGCTAATATAAGGTACGAGATGCTCACCTGTTTTATTTGGTGTGATTTAAACTCAGTCTCATTAGAAGAGATTGAATATAAAACCTGAATTACACTCCCTGACACATCTGACAGTTTGTCATCCAGACCCCCAACTCACTGAAAGTCATCCTGACCGGTGTGCCCAATCAACCATCTCACCTTTAGCTTTACGACAGCAATAACTGACACCACTCAGTCGTCCTGACACTAAAGGAAGTCTATTCTGGGACACTTTAATGGCTTCCCCGCTCATAAAGTAAAGATGGAGCGTCTAACCACGTCCAAGGACTCCAGCACAAAAGAAAGTGTCATCCCATCAATCAACGTGTCTGCAATGGCTTGGTTATTATAATCAGCCGCCGGGATGATCTTCTGCCACTTTATTTTGGTCCAACAGTTTGTCACAAACTTGTCAACTTGTTAATGTAAGACGAGCCGGAGGACACCTCACCTGATGACCGAGTCTGTGTGGTTAAAGCCTGGTATAGATGAGGCCTTCTCCCCCGGTGATCCCAGTATCTGCCGCGCCGTGTTGATGTCCACCTTTATGGAGAACTCCATCACCTCTGAGGGGATTATGGGAGTTTCACCCTGAGCATCGTCTGCTAACAGATACCCTGTAGGAATGACATAAGCTAGAATGGTCACTTGTGTTTTAAGAAAAACAAATCTCACAGGAATTAACAGATGTTTATCACTGCAGGTAAACAGCAGGGTAAAAAAAGTGTTTGCAGGATTTATTAAAAATCATGAAATTGAATTCCAAACTTTTCAGTGTCATGTCATGTGACAAATAAAGCTTCTTGATTCTTGACTGACGACTCATTCATGCAGCAGAACTGTAACAATAACAGTTAGGAACCCGCAGCGATGCTTTAAAAACTTTAATGATCCTGATCCAGACACTTTTAATGAGCATGAAGTCTCAGACCGGGGTGGAGCGCAACTAAATAAGACGGAGGAAGTTTACAACACTGGTTTAGTCATTAGGAAACACTATAAAGAAGAGCATACAACAGGATGTTTGAATATTAACTTTATATCAAAGATAATTGCTTTGAAACCAAGCCTGAGCTTAAAAAGTAAATTAAATTTACTTAAAAAATATTTTTTAACTTAAATTTATAGTAATTGCAACAAACTTAAAAAAAAAAAAAAATCAACTAAAGTATTTTCCCCCAACTGACCTGAGACCAGTATAAGCCAGTGGATGTCCTCATATAGGTCGTCCAGTACTTTTCTGTCCATTGATGCAGGGTCAGTAGAGGACATGAGGTGCTGTTGTGTCCTCTGGAGTTGACCGTGCAGCCGTGTCACTCTGTCCTCTAACAAACTGCAATTATAATATCAACAAATTTAAATATAAAAAAAAAAATATGCGTGTAAATAAATATGTTCAACAAAAATATTTTTCTGGTCACCTCGTGAGCAGAGGGATGCAGTGGTCCGCTGCCACACGACCCAGCATGCCGATGCTGGACAGCTGGTCTGAGAACAGCTCTCTGTCGTCCTCCTGCAGCTCGTTGATCTCTTCCTCATCATGAGAAGAGATGCCATTTACTGACTAGAGGGCGGAAAAACAAGAATGGGTCAAGATATTTGTAAGGAATGGCCAAAGGGGACGATTTAAGTACAGGGAGATTAGGGCTTTATGGCCAGAGTTGTAAATATTCTTATGTCACACCAGGTTCCGTGTGCCGTCTGGAGCTGCCAGGTGACACTGAATGTAGGAGTTGAAGACCTGGACCGCAGGCTGGACGAAACAGCCCCGAGGAAAATGCTCATTGTCTTGGACAAGCGTCAACCAGGACTCCAGCAGTTTGTCATAGGCCTCCATGTAGATCATATCGTCTTTGTCCAGCTGAGGAGACAGACATCAGGTTGATGTTATTCCTTCAATAATTGAATGTGTCATTTCTTTTCATTTATGATCCCAATTAGAGGAAAAGTAGTTAAGTGCGTACTGTGGTCATTACCAACAGAGCAGTAACACTGACTTTAGGGGGCTTTATCAATGACTGAAGTTAACACATAGAAACCAAAGTGTTGTTATACATGTGAGAATGACCCCAGAGGAAAAAGGAAGTTGCAGTGTTTCTCAAAGTGATTTTTTTATTTATTTTTTACTCACCACTTCCTCCAGGGCGGCGCTGCGTCCAAATGAGCAGGTGAGCAAAGTGAGGCAGTTGATAAAGGATGTGAAGAGTTCGCTGGGCAGCGCTGTTAAAATACTTCTGGGGAACATGGTGATCAGATTAGAGATGATATTGGAGATGCCAACTGCCTCCGAGTCCTCGATCTCAATCCTGGGAACGTAGATAATAAATGATTAAATAAAGATCAAAGGAGACGGAGAAAAGCGTTCTGTGATGGTATCATGAATTTATGAAGCTATGGGTCATTTTATTTGTTTTTCAGGAGAATTATAAAAAAAAATAACAACGCCGCCAAGTTACATATTAAAACCCCACACTAACTGTAACTGATTAATAAAAAATGAAACCTCTTCTTGAACTTTTCCCTGAATTACCAGAGATGTTTTCCAGCCTCTGAGATGAGGCCGAGACTAAACTGGGGTCACTTTGCTGCTTACGCTCTGGGGACGGCTGTCTGGAAACAGACATGAAAATTGATACTTCACCCAAACCAGTGGGCAACGTGACCCCTGGTCTGAACACATTTCCACAGCTGCCTCTAAGGTTCTTTTTATGGTATTTCTACATCGTGAGGTAAAAATCAAGATGTTGAACGGCTGTAATTACAGCTCTCCTTTGAATGGAACTTTTAGACAAAAGCGGCCTCAGAAATCCACACAACATGTTGGACTGACACATTTTCACATCAAAGGCTTAAAAGTGACACAGATTATCAGGTATCAAAATGTTTAACAGGACTCAGTGGCCTCGCTTTAACACAGCCAAGTGTCTTTGCGGGTTTAACGCTGACACAGTTGTCACTTTTCCCGCCCGGAGACCGCGTCGTTTTAATAGCACATGTTCATTTGACTTCCCAGGAGCCACTGGGTCTTTAAATGAGCTGCATGGTTGGGACATTGTTATGTTGATGTAGTGGAAATTGGCAGCATGACTCAGCGACACCGGCCAGGTCTGAAATCAGTGCTAGAACAATTGTGCTAACATTGTTTTACAGTACTCAGATTGTTACGCTTCTACGACGGTGGTACTGACACGTTACTGGTTCTCTTTTGAATGTATCGTTATGGTAAACAATGGCGTATTTGCTGAATGCACGTGCACCTGACTAGCATGACTTTTGTAGGAGCCACATTTTCTTTTTAGAACCAGGAGTTCAACCTTTTGAACCATGCACCTGGTGTGGTGACCCACTTTAAAACATGCTGCCTTTAAAAATGAAAGAAATGCTCTACAAAAAAAAGGACTTACATAGGACAAAAGAAGATGCAACATTCACATTCATAATAAACTCATCTATAAATCACTTTCCTAATTGTGTTATTTTAAAAAAAACTCAGAAATGAAAACGTTTTTAGGCATTTCTGAAAACCCAAATGCTCCTTAGCAGTATGTTTTCTCTTCCACAAATTAGAGACACACGTGATTACGTTATTTTTAAAAAACAAAAAACAAAAATGAAAATGTTTTTAGGCATTTGTAAAAACCCAAAAGCTCCTTAGCAGTAGTGTTTTCTCTTCCACAAATTAGAGACACTTAAATTTCAGTTCACAAGACGATATATATTTAAATTAAAAAAAACAAACAAAAAAACTTAAAAAAAAATCAGTTATTAAGTAAATAACTTATATTTAAACTAAAAAAACAAACAAAACAAAAAAATCAGTTATTAAGTAAATAACTACATAAGTAAATTGATGTATTTTACAAATCCTTAAAATCCTCAACTTTTTTAACGCAAAAGGAAAAAAACAGTTCATTGTTCATTCACAGTTGTTTATATGACAAATACAATTTTTTTCACACATAATCAGACAGATGTGTCGATGTAGCTTTGACTGCACTAAAATATCAAATACTGTTAACCTGGCTATATTTAAAAAGATGCACTCGTGACGCACATGGAGGAGATGAGCAGTGTGTGTGTGTGTGTGTGTGTGAGAGAGAGAGAGAGATAAAGAGACAGACAGAGGCTGAGTAAGGACCTATCAGATGAGGTTAAATTGTGAGCAGAACCGTTCAATCACTGCAGATTGGCCATCCCTCCCTGCATGGTTTTCCGATGAGGCAATTGGAAAAAAAAAAAAAAGAAAAGAAAAAACGCTCCAGGAGAGACCGATTACAGACAGAGTAGGAGGCAGGGAGGTACAAAGGGGGGAGAGGGAGAGGGAGAGACCCTTACTCTATTTATCATGTGCTTCATCAGTACGCTGGTGTGTGTCTGTGTTATTTATACACAGATCAGATCCACGCAGACTGTAGACACACCCACAGATGACTGTGAAATACATGTACTGTAGTCATGGACTCAGTCTACCATCTCTCTCACATTCACTACACCATTTCAGAACCTTTGCATTAAACATTTTTTTTATTTTATATCACTTTTAATAGCCTTTACAAACCAAAATAAACCTGCCTCTTTGATAGAAGTGGCCAGATTATGAATATACACTTTCTTGGTTTTAGCCCTACCATGAATCCATTCTCCCAGTGGTCTGGGATTAAACTCTCCTGAAAGCCAGTAAACTGGGGGACACCCCAAACACTGACCAACACTACATTTGTCAGTGTCTGCACGTGCGTTTTGTGCGTCTCTCCCAAATTTGCACAACAGCTGCTGGTTTCTAGGTTTTGGAGAAGTGTTAACACTCTATATGGCAGCAAATCTCTGTTGAGGCCCCCAAACAAGGCAGGAGATCACGGTGATGGGAAGACAAGCTGAGAAGAACATCGACGAGAATTACCCAACTACTGCATATACTACTGAAGAGACGAAGGACAGCAGTGAGGATCAATGATGAAAGAATCTGCAACGTCTTAATTATTATTGCAATGAAAATAAAATCAGCTGTTATCTGTATGCGCGACTTTTTTTTGTGGGACTGAAACTGTCAGCTCTCAAGAGTCTATAATTGTGCCTCAGTCTGAACCTGGTTCTAATTCACAAGGATTCAGATCATCATGATCCATCCAAGTGAAGTCCTTCTAGTTTGGGCAATATGATGTGACTAACAGGTAACTAGTTTTAAGCCGAGCCATAGTTGGTGTTTTCCTTCAAGTCTAGTTCTTGCTGTTACTAACGAGTTACATAATCTTTAACTTATATACAAACTCACTAGTAATTTTCTTTCTCCGTCAAAACGGGTTTCTAAATATAACCAGCGAATGTTCCTGGTACTATCTGACGAAAACATCAACGAACACGAGACGCTGGATTTTTTTATGCTCCTTAAAGCTGATTGGAGTTAATCTATTATATAAATAAAGCATTTAAATGGCCATATTCAAAATCAAAAGTGGTTGATTGGCTCGTTCCGAGGATAAAGACGGTCTTTGTTTGATTTTGGTAACAATTACTTGCGGGAGACAAGTCCAGTCATGATCCAGAGTTGGATCATTTCTGCTGCGCACAGAATTACTGATGATGGCAGGCGAGGCTTCAGTGACAACTCTGGGGCATGTGATGACAAATAACAGAAAGGATGAAGAAATATTAGGGGAAAATCGCCTCTGACGTAAGCAAAAGAGTTTAAGAATTGAAAACCTAAAAATGTGTTTCCTATGCTGAAGGAACACCCAGGTTCGGAGCAGAGTCGACTGCTTGATAAATGGAACTGAAAATCCGAGTGCACACAATTTATTCCAGTGGAAAACATCTCGGCCTTTCAACTAATCTGCCACTGAAGACACTGTAGCAGCACAAAAGCTAATATCTTCTTGTGTACATGCCAGAGTTCAACAACCAAAAAAATAAATAAATTATTTTTTTTAAATTATTTTTTCCTACAAATTTTGTAAATTCATGCTGCCAATAAAAAATATAAATATATAATATATAATAATTAGTAATATATAAGTAAGGTAAGTAGCCACAAGACTTATTGAAGTGATTCTTTGCAGTTTTAGTCTGACCAAAACACTCCCTTATTTCTAACATCAAAACAACAGTGCTCAAAATACCAATCACTCTGCACAAAACAACGTACCATTACTGTTTTCTTTGACAGTGCTCAAAATACCAATCACTCTGCTGCTAAATACCGACTATGTAGTAATTCCAGCCATTCAGAGCTAATAAACCATTTCTGTTAACTTTAACCACGTTTATTTAGTTTTTAGTTCTGAGCTTTGGGGGGTTCCAGGTGTCAACATTAAACCCAGGATGCTCTGCTTCAGATTACATGAGAAAATACAGATATGTAACCACACTCTGTATTTCGCAGTGTTGTATTGGCAGTTAATGTTGATCTTTCTCCCCCCCACCCTCTAAAGTTTCTGTGGAAAAAAAGCATAATTTGATCCAATTTCACATTCATTTGTTTTGAGAAAACACGAGTTTCTGGTTAACTCCATATGTTACTGGACTGACAGATACAGCCTTTCTGCTCTGTTTCTCACAGACTGCGGAGCTGATACTAGAACGGCAGACTCTAAATACAATCGTTTCCTAAAAATAAAGCTAAAAAAAGCAAAGCGTGAGTCATGGTTTTAATCATCATTTGTTCCGTCATTTGAACAAAAAGTCCTTGTGAGAATTTAGTGAAAAATAAAACACCTGCTTCAACTGAGGCCAAGAGTACGACTTTTTTTTCTTTTAAATACACAAAACGTGCATAAGACCTACAGATGTGGTTTGAAACAGAGTGCTAAAATGTCCATGAGTGAGACTTGGACTTAGATGAGAAGCAGAGATTAGAAGCAGCTACAGCTCCTCCACACTGAGAGGAGTGAAGGAGGTAAATCAATAACCCAGAGTGACTTTTACCTTCATTTACATCAACCGTACACTTCATTAAAGAGAATGGGTGATTGATGAACTTTCCCTGCATTCTAGTTATTTTATAATCCTTCTCTGTTTCATGTAAAAAGTAATGTTCTTGTTCGGCGCATACCAGCAGTATCAGACCTACCCGTTGATCATGCTGAGCAGACCCTCCACCAGGTGAGCCAGGTAGGAGACCTGAGCGCTCTCGTCAGGGAAGATGGGCCCGTGCATGGACGCCAGCTGGGCCAGACACTGCAGGGAGTCCTGGGCCATGTCTGAGTCCTCCCGAATCTTCCTGTGCACCTGAAAGTCAAAACATCAGAAATTCTCGTAAACAAGTGAGAGTTGAAAGTAAATACATGAATTAATTAAATAAGAACTTCCTTCCCATTCTCCATTGCGGTAAAACTTTATCTAATCAAAGATTTGACTTGCTGTGGGACTGAACTAATCTGACTTAGTACATATAGATCTCTTAGTCTGGAAATACTATAAAGAGCACTGAAGAAAATAACAGCTGGGCGAAAAAGTGGAAAACCCCTGCACAGTGTCACTGTTAAAAAACACAGATGGTTTCACTTTTGTCTTCCTTCCCACCTGCACTATGACGAAAAAAAAAAAAAAAAAAGGAGGATGGAAAAAGGGAAAAATTCAGAGCTTTCTTTGATTCCCCTGATGTCGTTTTTCATCAGGCGGGAATGTAACATTCATTGCATGTTGTTGGAGCGAGCGTCCTTAAGCACCTGCACGACTGTACTGTACTCTTTCACCCACGGGGACTTTCATAAGAGGCTAGATTAGATGCTTGGTTACAGACTAAACATGCTGATAGAGGGAGAAATAATGAGGTAAAAACGCTTGCATGGACAGAAATGAAATTACAGGGCAGAGTTTGACAATGGGTTTGTTTGTAGATGAGACAAGAATAAGAACAAACGCGCTGAGCGAGGAGGGTTGTTAAAAATGGTGACAGCTCTGTCTGGATGCGGTCAGAGCCGACTTCTATTATGGCTCCACAGGGAGGTACAGAGATTAGCGACGCAGCAACAGTCGGTTTGACAATGACACTCCAGACGCACTTCACAATGAGAACTGGGAACAGCAGTTTTGTTCTGTTTCGAGAATACATGCCTTTGTGTTCAGGTGCATTTGAAAATGAGTACCTTTTTGTCTAGGAATATTGCATTTTTCATTCATTTCATTTTTTATTAATATTTTAATATCTATATTTTGGACAAAAAAGTAGAATTATTGTTGACCAGTATTTCTAATTACAATGGCCCACATTAAAATGACAAGATATATTTAAACAAAAATTTAAAAAATTTAAAATATTTTTACTGTGCCATTAAAATACACCAATGACTTGACAATAGAATAAACAAACACTCCCGATTTTTTTTTTTACAATTGCAGTCTTCTGCAACAATATATCTTTTAAAGACAGTTCAAATGTTTCTGTCACAGTAAATTCTATTTAGGGTTTTAAGAAATTTAGAACATTTGAAAATTTGGAAACTGCTCTTCTGAATCACCATCCAGAACTTCAAAAACAGGCTCTTTTAAATCCTTAAACAAGCTCAGATTACAATTTATTTTTAGAGTTTATATCATTTCAAAAGAATTCTTCTAAATATATATTTTATTTAACTTTGTCCAGGCCGTTAAAACAGAACTTGTCGACTCCACAAATAATCAGTGTCGCGGCCATGTCGCTTTCGGTTTATAGGCTTTTACATCTCCTAACCACAACCACACACAAGGACAGTTCTAAATTGTGTTACTATGGCGAGTAGGAAAAATAGACCAAATCAAATTTGGGACTCAAATAAAGCTTCTAAGCCCAGAGAAACTGCAACTTGGGTCACATCCTTAAGAAAGCAGTGCAAATCTACGATTTATGATTTTGCTTTTTTCTGAACACCCAAAAAGAAAACCTTCTGCATCCGTTTATCGCTACAATAAATAAAAAAAACAACATCAGCTGATCTACAGCAGGATTTATACTCACGTTTGTTTGTTTTACCCAATTTGCTGAGGGCGAAGCAAGAAATGGTGAGAAGTATTTTTATCACGTCTGTCTTCAGACACTGTGACCCTGGATCTCACAGAAAACAATAACACCGGCTGGTCAGAGGCTTGTCCGAGGCAGCCTCAATCAAACACAGCACGCATGGAAATTGCTGCTCCTGATGGACAAGATCTGCTGAACTTTGTCTCATCTCAGCTACAAGATGCAGTTCACTTGTGTGATGGTGGGGCTTGTCCATGCCGAGCTGTCACACTTTGGTGAGGGAAAAGGCATGATGGAATCCACAGAGTGAGAGGCACGGAACACACAGACACAGGGAGCGAGGTGGAAGCTCTACCAGCGCCGAGAGTCGTCACAGACCCTCAGCAACATGTGTTTCCACTGATGGTACAACAAAATGTACTGCCTCCCTCCTCTTTCTTCTTCCTCAAAGCTTTTTTTTTTCTCTCTTTGTTTTTCCTCTTCTTCTGTCTTTTAATGTCATCCCCTTGAATCCAACATGATGACTTTTTCACTGGCTCCACATTTGACTCCAGCGCGGAGCCCCATCACTGAGGAGATCAAACTTTCAACCTCCGTTCTCAACCACCTCTTAAATACTCTCACTTCCTTTCTCCTCTAATTTTCCCCTGCAGCTTGTATCCACTCCTCTGACTGCTTTTATTTTTCTACTGTGCTCTCCAGCTAGAATTCCTCAATGGTCCAAAGCCACACTACTGGGAACAGATCTCAGATGCTAACGTAGCGTAGCCACAACAGTCCTTTCTTCTGCTGCTGCTGCTGCTGCCCTCTTCCAGTGCATGAAGTCATCCTCTGGAAGAGCTCGGTGAGAGAATAGAGGAGGAAGAAAAAGGGGGAGCTGGAGTGGGTGAGCGAGAGAGAGAAAATGAGAGAGGGAGGAGGTGTGGTAGAGGCAGAGCAATGCCACAGGATTGAACGGCGCGAGCTCTGAAGAAAGCAGCTGCGCCGGCGAATGGTCCATGCCATGCCAGTAATGTCAGTCTGACTATAGTTAGAGATACACACGTATGTGCATGTGTACGCCAGAGTGAGTGTGTCGATTTGTAGGTAATGATGCAATGAAACAACACAAGCCGTACATGAATGAACCATCGTGTTAACGTGGATCAGATGACAGTCCACGCTGATTAACCAGAGGATTGAGTATCAGTGGAGCGTACACCAGCAAAGGTGACGATTCTTTTTTTCTGTTTTGTGCTCAATAAAATACAAACAGTCAAAACTGCAACTGTGGACCGTGTATGAAGCAAAAAATAAAAATAAAAAATACAATTAAAGCTAAAAAAGCATTCAGTGGTAATTCCGCTTTCGCCCCCAGCTTTTACAAATTTTGTTATGTTAATTTGCAAATGCTAATGCATCCAAACAGGACGTTGTAATGCCTTGAAAATAATTTATGGCAAAATATTGAATAGGTCAACTGCTAATTTTGCAGCAGTTTATAAGAAAATTAATATTCAAAATATGATGTTGTTTGTAATTAATTAATTCTGTAACTAATTAGTCCCATTTCTTGTTATAAAAGTTAAATTTTAAAAAGTGAAAATTTTCTTGATCCCGTGACTTCGCAAAAGGAGTACGCTGCTAATTCACTTGGACACAATGCTACATCAAAGACCCACAAAATTAGCTAGGCTAGTAGGTTGACCACTTATGCCTCATTGCCTGCACAAGAAAAACAACGCACTACTGCTCACTGTGGCAGACCACTTCAAGAAACCAACCAAAAAGACCGAGCCAGAAAGAAAAAAGAATAGGGAACTCCCGGGAGGACTCAATGTTCTCGCGTGTTGGGGTGTTGGAAGAATATCGTAAAACTTTCCAAAATGCCTAGCGTGTCACATTGAGATTTGTTTAAATTAAATTATGAGCAAAATCAACATTATTATTGAAATTATGAGCGCACTGATTTGATCGTCCTAAGGAACAAAAACTTCATGACGAACTAAGATACCCCAAAGAGTTTGGATATTTACCAGCCAACAAAAACAATAGAAAGGAAACATTGTTGAACTTTCCTAGATGTACACATCTACTGAAAGCACAACACAGATGCTCAGTGGGGTAGGAAAAAAAAAAGAAAAAAAAAAGGTCCAGACTAACAGCTACAGGCATATTAGAATCAATGTAGCTCATTAGCATCCACCATCTGCAAATCATTGAACAGGCATGAAGGCTATGGCACGACAGCGAAGGAAACAGCCGTTCTCCTGAGAAACATCACTTAATGTCTGACGTTTGCCAAAGACCATCCTGACACTCCACAACGCTACCAGGGGAATGTTTTGGGGGTTGATGAAACTGAGGTTGCTTTGTTTCTGAGTAACAACCTGTACTGCATATGGCATACTGCAAGGATGGGGCATGGACGCATACCAAACACAATACATCATCACACTACTAAAGAACAGTTCAGGAAGAGCTGGGCTTTGGAGAGCCTCTGGGCTCAGACAGTTTTGACATCATCCATATGAAAATTCATTCCTAAGTTCACTGAGGTTCTTTGGTGAACTGGACACTGTCGTCCTGGCTGCGGTCCAGGAACACTTAAACATCGGGTAAATACTCCTTCAAACGTCTCTGTTGTACACAGATGTTGTGGAGTGAAATGACAGGGGTTCACGCCGTTCATCCTGAGAAAATGCCTGAGCCATGTGAAAATACAGAAAGTGTGTGTTGGAAGACGTCGATGCCAAAAGGAGGTCCCACTGGCTAATAAATCCAAGGCGTAGCACTGTGAACGTTCAGCGGGTGTGTTCAATAAAGACGCTTCAGATTAGAAATGTTTGTGTGTTATTAGTCTAAACATGCTGAGTTGATCCTCACCCAACGCTAAATTCTTCAGACTTTACACATGCGTTTGTGCTCAACTTTATGCATTGTTTTCTTTTATAGGCTGTCGTAACATCACGAGAAAGCCCATTACTCTTTGTTAACATCGTCATTATAACTTAATTCCTGAACATTCATTTCATCCTAACTTTAATAGCAAAAGGATTTTTAGGTGCATAATACCTGGACACCACCAGGAGCATTTCATGAACCAGCTTAATGAAAGCAAAACAATGTTGTTGTTGTTTTTTTTTTAACTAAAAACGAGTTAAGAATAAATTTTAGTAAAATATGCAATAACCACATTTGTATTCACTGGTAAATTAAAAAAATAACTCTTATTAAATAATTTGAGGTCATAATAATTTTTAATTTTATTTATTCATTGTTTAAACACTTGCTCCTGGCAAAATGTTTT